TTTACACCCATGAGTAACCCATGAGTAAACCCGTAGTAATTTACTCACCTGTTTTGTAGCAGCCAATTGTCTCTGCAGGTGCTCGATTTGCTCCCAGGTGTATTTTTACACACTCAGGTGTATCCCATGTGTAATTTTACACTCATGAGTAACCTGTGAGTAACCCCTGAGTAATTTACTCACCTGTTTAGTAGCAGCCAATCATCTCTGCAGGTGCTCGATTTGCTCCCAGGTGTATCCCAGGTGTATTTTATCCACCCCGGAGCATCCCAGGTGTGTTTTTACACCCATGAGTAACCCATGAGTAACCCATGAGTATCCTATGAGTAATTTACTCACCTGTTTAGTAGCAGCCAATCGTCTCTGCAGGTGCTCAATTTGCTCCCAGGTGTATTTTTACACACTCAGGAGCATCCCAGGTGTGTTTTTACACCCATGAGTAACCCATGAGTATCCTATGAGTAATTTACTCACCTGTTTAGTGGCCGCCAATTGTCTCTGCAGGTGCTCGATTTGCTCCCAGGTGTAATTTTACCCACTCAGGAGTATCCCAGGTGTAATTTACACCCATGAGTAACCCATGAGTAAACCTGTAGTAACTCTCACCTGTTTTGTGGCAGCCAATCGTCTCTGCAGGTGCTCGATTTGCTCCCAGGTGCATTTTATCCACCCCGGTGTAACTCAGGAGTAACCCAGGTGTGTTTTTACACCCATGAGTAACCTATGAGTAAACCAGGTGTAATTTACTCACCTGTTTAGTGGCCGCCAGTCTCCTCTGCAGGTGCTCGATTTGCTCCCAGGTGTATTTTATCCACCCAGGTGTGTTTTTACACCCATGAGTAACCCATGAGTAAACCCGTAGTAATTTACTCACCTGTTTGGTGGCCGCCAGTCTCCTCTGCAGGTGCTCGATTTGCTCCCAGGTGTGGTTTTACACACTCAGGTGTATCCCAGGTGTATTTTATCCACCCAGGTGTATCCTATGAGTATCCTATGAGTATCCTATGAGTAATTTACCTGTTTAGTAGCAGCCAATCGTCTCTGCAGGTGCTCGATTTGCTCCCAGGTGTATTTTTACACACTCAGGTGTATCCCAGGTGTATTTTATCCACCCAGGTGTATCCTATGAGTATCCTATGAGTATCCTATGAGTAACCCATAGTAATTTACTCACCTGTTTTGTAGCCGCCAGTGTTTTCTGCAGGTGCTCGATTTGCTCCCAGGTGTATCCCAGGTGTGTTTTTACACCCATGAGTAACCCATGAGTAAACCCGTAGTAATTTACTCACCTGTTTTGTGGCAGCCAATCTCCTCTGCAGGTGCTCGATTTGCTCCCAGGTGTATTTTATCCACCCTGGTGTATCTCTGGTGTATCCCAGGTGTGTTTTTACACCCATGAGTAACCCATGAGTAAACGCGTAGTAATTTACTCACCTATTTAGTAGCAGCCAATCGTCTCTGCAGGTGCTCGATTTGCTCCCAGGTGTATTTTTTACACACTCAGGAGTATCCCAGGTGTATTTTTACACCCATGAGTAACCCATGAGTAAACCCATAGTAATTTACTCACCTGTTTTGTAGCTGCCAGTCTCCTCTGCAGGTGCTCGATTTGCTCCCAGGTGTATCCCAGGTGTATTTTACACACTCAGGTGTATCCCAGGTGTATTTTATCCACCCAGGTGTATCCTATGAGTAACCCATGAGTAAACCTGTAGTAATTTACTCACCTGTTTGGTGGCCGCCAGTCTCCTCTGCAGGTGCTCGATTTGCTCCCAGGTGTATCCCAGGTGTATTTTACACCCATGAGTAACCTGTGAGTATCCTATGAGTAACTCTCACCTGTTTAGTAGCAGCCAATCTCCTCTGCAGGTGCTCGATTTGCTCCCAGGTGTGGTTTTATACACTCAGGAGTATCCCAGGTGTATTTTATCCACCCAGGTGTATCCTATGAGTATCCTATGAGTAACCCATGAGTAATTTACTCACCTGTTTTGTAGCCGCCAGTCTCCTCTGCAGGTGCTCGATTTGCTCCCAGGTGTGTTTTTACACACTCACGTGTATCCCAGGTGTGTTTTTACACCCATGAGTAACCCATGAGTATCCTATGAGTATCCCATGAGTAATTTACTCACCTATTTAGTAGCAGCCAATCGTCTCTGCAGGTGCTCGATTTGCTCCCAGGTGTATTTTATCCACCCAGGTGTATCCCAGGTGTTTTTACACCCATGAGTAACCCATGAGTAACCTATGAGTATCCTATGAGTAATTTACTCACCTGTTTAGTAGCCGCCAGTCTCCTCTGCAGGTGCTCGATTTGCTCCCAAGTGTATCTCTGGTGTATCCCAGGTGTTTTTACACCCATGAGTAACCCATGAGTAAACCCGTAGTAATTTACTCACCTGTTTTGTAGCAGCCAATTGTCTCTGCAGGTGCTCGATTTG